GAGTTTTAGATAAGGATGCCATACTGCTTTCCTTGGGAACATCTGCATTCCCTGGACACAGCCAAGTCTTGAGTCTCAACAGCCAGTTGGGCTGGAAAGGAACAAGTCAGCTTGTAAGCAGAGGGTTTTCCAGTTGTATGGCAGGGATTCACATGTACCTGTTCCAGCAGCTTTTCCCTTGGAAAGAGACCTTGAGTCCGACTTGGTGGCTCTGAGGTTTGTGGCTTGGGTAGCTCTGCAGTTGGGAGCTGCAGGAAGAATGGAACATCTTGATTTCTGCCTGTTGCATTCCCAGAAAAGCTGTCTTGTGTGCCATAGCATCCTCATCCCTTCATATCGTGTTCTGTCCTTAATCCTTGCTTGTTTAGTGACACTCTCTGTTCTTTCCATCCAGCCCTTTCCTGTTCCCTGTGTTCCTGAGCAAGGATTTAGCCTGGTTTTCTATCCTGAAACTCACCACCTTCCCCCAGCAGCACATGCAGAGCTTTTTGTCCTCAGGTTTGAGCTTAGAGCTGAGATTTTAAGGCAGGGGATGGAGTATTTGGCCAAACCCTTTCCAGCCTTGCAGGATCCTGTGCCCTGCACTGGGTGATGCTGTTTCAACCAAGCAGCAGGAGCTTTGCTGGGAATTTAAGCATGGGAAAACGAGCCCTTGCCTTGTGCTGTGAAGCTGTTGTGTGAAGGCCACACAGCTTAGAGATCACAGTCCATGGGGTAGATGGAAAATGTTCCATCAGTTTGCTGGAACTCTGTCAGTTCATCCTCTTCCAGCCACCCCAGGTGGCTGCAGGGATGGGATGCTCTGGGAACGTGCAGGTGAGCTCAGGTGCTGCAGTCAGAGCTGTGTGAGTCACGGGGTGTTTTCAAGAAGTAAAAGTTTGTTTTGTTTTAAAGGAATGTTCTTGAAATAATGGGCTCCAGTTGTTTCTTCAGTACCAGATTTTAAGCCTTTTTTTAGACCCATGGGAGATTTTCTGGTTCTCTTGCATCTGTATGGAAGGTAGAATCAAAGATTGCTCCTCCTGATGGCACATTGCTCAGCTGGGCTGAGAGAGCATTTCAGGGCTGGAAATCCTCTGGCTGTGGGTGCAGCTGGAGAGCCTTTCCCCAGCAGAGACAAATCCCTTCTTAGAAGCTGCTGTTAAAACTAATTTCAGGGCATTTTAAAAATTTCATTTCTTCAGCTACTGCAGAAATGTGAGTTCTGCTTTTATTTTGACTTTCCCAGAGTCAATACCAACCCATTGATTCAAAGAGAAGCAGTTCCAACATCTTAACTCCTGACTGCAGGAATTCCCAAGTATCACAGCCAATCCAGTTCCGCTGTTGTTGGGGTTTTTTTGTGTGTAACAACCTCCTCCTCCTCCTCCCAGATGGGTGACTGGAGGTTTTGGCTGGGTTGTGGTTGTCCACAAAAGTAATTTGTTTTTCAAAATACCTTGAAGATGCTGATTCAGTGCTTCAACAAGAACAATCATGGATGGGAGTGCCACAAACCCACATGAAATGGGAAGGGATGGAAAATCACACCTGACTACCACAGAATACTCTTGGTATTTCTTGCTTTAGGCAACTCAAATATGATGATGGCAGGGTTTGTTTGTAAGGGGCCTGTGGTTTTAGCTGCTCTGTGATGTAAACAATCTGTAAACTTTGCATGCAGTTGTTTTTTAAGGCAGGAAAACCTGCTCCAGCTGAGCTGTCTGGGAAGCAGTGATTGCTGTGATCTAGTGTGTGCTGCTGGAATTTAGAGGATTTCAGCCAGAATTCCATCCTTGGGTCTGATGAGTGGAGTGGCTGTCTTTGATTTGAAGATGTCAAGTGATGGAACCTTGGTGCATTTCATACCAACCAGCCAACCATCCACCTTCACAGCAACTTTGATTTGAGCTGACAGGAAGGATGAAGAGGAACTTTCTACAGGGGCCTGGAGTGGCAGAGCAAGTGGGAATGTCTTCCCAGTGACAGGGCAGGGTTAGATTGGATATTAGGAAACAATTCTTCCCTGTGAGGTTCCTGAGGCCCTGGCACAGGTTGCTTGGAGCAGCCTGGGGCAGTGGAAGGTGTCTCTGCCATGGCAGGGGTGGAGCAAGATGAGCTTTAAGGTCACTTCCAACCCAATTCCATGATTCTGGGTTTCTATTTCGTTTGAATGTGGTGTCTTTATTTTGAGCTCCCCATCCCATTAACTCCCTGGGCTGTGATGTGTGTAGGTGTTCAGGTTACCTCCCTTTTTTCCCTTGGCTTAAATAAATTCAGATGTGCTGGGTTTTCCAGGCTGGGCTGTTTCTTGCCATTCCTTGAATCCTTCCCAGCAGCCCAGCTTCTCACTGGAGGGCCTCATGTGCTCTGGTAGGTGGGAGCAACTTTTTGTTGATAGTTACAGCAGGAAAAAATAAACCCTTCAGTGACAAAGAGCAGATTTAATTGTTTCAATCCTTTGTGGGGCTGTGGCAGAGGAGCATTTCTGGGATATGAGTGTCATGTGGAATGAACACTCTTGGATTTGCTCTCAGATGGGGTATTTGCAGAGTGCTGTTGTGCTGGGAAGAATCTGGGTTGAATTGCACATGCAGGACTAGTGTCTTTACAATCCAGTGGCTTCTGCAGTCTTGTTGTGTGTCTGTAATGCTCTGGTCTGATCATTCTGGTGTACCTGGGTGTACAATCATTCTGCTTGTTCCATGGGTGCAGAATGATTCCCAGAAGGAGCTGGGAGGTTGTCTTGTTGAGACACAAACAGTTGATGGTCAGGAACTCATTGCAGGAGGACAGATTTGCAAAACTTGAGCATTAAATCTCATTTAGGGAGACTTGTGAACATTGAATCCTAGATTGGGCACACACAATTTTTTTCTGTAGTGCTCTCTGACTGTGGAGGACTTGGGAAGATGTTAAAAATCCTCCTGATTCTTGCACTGTGCTTCAAGTGCTGTCACAGGGGCAGATTCCTGCTTACCTCCCTCTTGCTGAGTGTGTAAATTTGGGAGCCAAGCAGACAATGCTTTCTGCACTGCTGTGGTCTCATTACCAACCCTTTCCACTGTGGGGTTTGAGTCACTTTTGGTATTCCAATTCCAGCTTTTCCTCTGGATTTAGAGATTGGTCTCCCTGGTAACATTTTCACAACACAGTTGAAATGATGTGGACCTTCCTCTAGAGACCTCAGGATCACACCTGGCTGGGACATGGTTGGATGTCAAGTGTTTTAGGGCTCTAAATGACACAAGCCATTTCCCTTGTGGTGCTGCCCATGTTGGTGCTTTCTGCTGCTTCAGTGAAGCTCATTTTGGAGAGGAGTGTTTTCCCTCCCACCTGCTCTTCCTCTGCTGGATGGGCTTGTGGTCTCCCTCCATTCACTTGAGAGTGAGGGCCAGCAGGGATTTGAGTCTGTGATCTCTCCAGGCCTGCACAGATGTGGCTTCTGGAGTACATCTCAGACCTCTCTTCATCCAGGCTGCTGCAGTTTGGGTTTTCCTTGGAAGTCTGGTTTTGTGAGTGGTGTAATGATGTTTGTCCTGATCACAATGATCACAAAGTAAGTTATGTTTGAACGGGTCATGCCAGGAGCAGGTTGGAGCTTACTCAGACATCTCATCCATTTAGGCTGGATATCAGGAAGAGATTCTTTCCCCAGAGGGTGCTTGGATACCTGCACAGGCTTCCCAGGGAATGGTCACGGCACTGACCCTGCAAGAGCTCCAGGAGCATTTGGGCAGCACCCTCAGACACATGGTGGGATTGGGGTGTCTGGGCAGGGCAGGAGTTGGACTGGATGATCATTGTGGGTCCCTTCCAGCTCAGGGTATTCTGTGATTCTGCCAGGTGACTTTGCTTCTTCATGGTCCAAAGAGAGCTTTGTTCTTACCTCAATCAAGACAATCAGCTTGTCTATATTTACCCCCCAACCCTTCTCCCCTCTGTGCATTCCCATCACTTTTCCTCTGTACCAGAGCTAAATCCTTCAGGAAGTCCTGTGTGTTTGGGTAAATCAGGATACAACCATGGCCTTGCTCTTTGATGTAGAGAGTGATTTACTGTGACAGCCATTGGTGCAGTGTCCCCAGTGCAGTGTCCCCAGTGCTGTACTTGGACAGATGTGCAGCCAGCTGTGGGGCTGGAGCCTTTGCAGATTGGGCTGTGGCAGCTCCTGGGACTGACCCTGAGCTCTTGGGAGCCTGCTGGAGTGCTGGGCTCTCACATTCTGCAGAGGGCTGTTCCTATTTGGGTCCTCATACATTGGTGTCGTCAGCTGCCTCCCTGCAGTGGTGTGTGGCTCACCCAAGAGTTTGAGGTGCTGCTCTTCTCATTTTACTTTTGATAAACCACAGAAATGGGGCTTGTTGAGGCAATATCCCGTAAAAGTTCTCCTGCCTTGCACATAGCTTTTAACCTAAAAGTTCATGAGCGGAAATTATTGCACAGATTTGTTACCTTCTGCTCCCAGGAACTTAAAAATGGAAGCTTCAAGACCTTTCACTGTCCCCTACAGCCACCCCAGGCTTCAAAAGCTGTTTCTTTTGTCCCAGTGTAGTTTCATCTTGTGTTTCCTGTGAGTATGCTGGCATGATGAAGGAGGGAGCTGTTTGGCACTGCTGTTCTTAATTCAGGATGTAAAGCTGAGAGCTCCTCTACATTAAGTAAAAGAAACTCTTTGAAGCTGTGTGTTGTGCTAGGTGGTGCTCTGGGACATCTGGACCCCTTTAGGCTGCTATAAATGAATCAACTTAAACAGATGAATGTGGACACAGCCACAGGCCACCAAAGTGCTCTGCAGAGGCCATAGCTTCTCCCTGAGTAAGAACATGTCTCAGGTCAGGGATCTGGAATTCCATGTTGGATGACCTCAGGTTATATATGAAAAGCTTGCTCATCTTATTCTTTTGCTGGGAGGAGGACCATGTCTGCAGCCTTCCTAAAGGTTTTTCTCATCCTCATCCTGCAGTTCCTGCAGAGCTCCAGGTTCTTCGGTGGCTGCACTTGTAGAGATGAGGACTCGTGAGTTAGAAATGGTGAGAAAATCCACAATGAGCTTTGTGACTGTCTCCTCCTTTGGTTTTCCTCATTACAAATTAAGTGGGGATAATGTGTGTTCGTGTTGCAGGCAGTGTTGCAGAACAATAAGCAAAAGCCTCGGTCTCTTCCAGTCTGAGCAGTCACTGGGCAGTGATCAGGTCTGTTTTCAGTTACTTGTCCTAAATTTCCTGCTTTCTGTATCTGTATCAATCTGTGTATGTGCACTTCAGGAACCACGGAGCAGGAGTTGAGCTGGACACCAGGAGGAGTAGAGGAGGTGCGTAAGAAAAACAACAGATCTTAGATCTTGGAGATCAGAATAAAATGGTGAGAGAAAGGTTAAGGATTATAAAATGTCCAGGTTTCCTGAGGTCTGAGTAATTATTTAGGTTACCAGGCTCTCTGAAGAAAAGCCTGTAGCTTTATGACACAAGGCTGACACATGGAATTTGGAGGGAACATCAGGAAAAGTTGTAGGGACTGCCTGTTGGAGACATTGAGGAGAGCCTCCAAGAAGGAAGAGCTAGCAGGAGTCTTGATTCTCCAGCACACAAGACCACGTAGCCACCAGCTGCTTAGCCCTTTGGTGCTTTGGAAAGCCCTATAGTTGAGATTCTCAGTCAAATTTTAGGCTATCTGCTTGCAGAAGCTGAGGTAACACAACCAGGTGAGCATCTGGGCAGTACCCCAAAAGTATCTTCACCTTTAAGAGTGATGAGCAATCACACCATTGCTCATTTATTGTCATCTCCCTTCCTGTGTTGCTCCCTTTAGTTTTTCTACTTGTCTGCATTGACTTGCTGCTAAATTATTTTGATAGTAAAATAAACCAGATTGCAGCCTCACTGAATTAATTAATTACTACTAGGCTACAACCTAGTGTGGGATCCTCCATAACCCCATTGGTGGGGAGAGATGTTTGAAGCACATGCTGAAAATAGGGTGTGAAAATAGAGTGGCTGAGGGTGTCGGGCATTCCCAGAGGGCTTGGCCAAGCGTAGGGATGCTTTGGAAACAGTTTTTTTCACTTGAAGGCTGCTAATAAATTCAGCTGGAGGCTCTAAATCCATGTTTAACTCCTATGGATAATCTGGCACAGGTACAAGAACTGGGGCCTGGGAAATACATTTTAAAAAATCTGACTTGGGTGGATTTTAGAGTCTGGGAGTGAAATGACTTTGCCCTTATTGGTCAGTGAGATTTGAGCATAAAGGAGAGTAATTGGAGTGAGAAAGCTGAATTCTAACAGCCAAATGTATCTATACCCCAGCCTGAGGGAACCCTCTGTGCACCAGCAAATTCCAACAGGTTTCTAGGCTGGGTTTGGTTCTCGGTTGCCAGAGCAGGTTGTCTTGCACCTGCTCACACACAGAAAGTTAAAATGTGCTGGTGTCCATTCAAAGAGGATCTGCCTGTTTATCCTGAGGTAGTTATGGCAAAAGTGGGAAGGGTTCCACCTTAAACCGTGGAATAACTCATGCCTGTTGTTGCCTGTGTGTTTGTATGGGTTATTTTTTATTTTGTGTTGTTTTCGTGTGTTTTTGTTTAAAACAGCAGGGTAATACTGACTTGCTGCTTAGCGGTTTTGCTTCTGCCCCCAGGGCTCTGAATCTCAGGAGGAAACTGGTTAGAAATGTATCCCTTTGCTGCTGATGCTGTTAAACCAGTGTATGAGGAGCATTAGGTAGGTTCCAGCTTTCTGGAGTTTTAAAAGTTCCTTTCTTTGGGGGGAAAAGAAACCAAGTAGTTTTTGTAATGATGTGTCCACTACAGTTCTCCTGCAGAAAGCAAGGGAGCAGGATTAGTCCTTCCCAAATTAATGCCTCTCTTGATTTCTGGAGACAGCTTTGCTGCTCAAGTTAGAACCTCAGCAATCGGATAAAGTTAATTTTTTAAAAAGTTAATGTTTTCTAGCAGTTCACCAATCTGAAAAAATAGCCAAGACCCAGAAAACCTGGGGCATATCACTGCCTTTCAAAATCAGAGCAGTGGTAGAATTAAAACCACATTGAGAGTTGTGGAGAAACCTTTAATTTTTTTTACCCCCAGTTGTCTTTTGCTCCAGAGTAGGGGGAAAACAGGGCTGGAACCATAGGCTTATCCAGCAGCAATGAAGTAGCTTAGCCCTTGATGTGGGATGTCAAAGGGATCACCAGAACTGGGTGAGGCTTTGGCATCTCTGTGGGAGGTTCTGCCCCAGCTCTGTTTGAGAGACTGCTCATACCAAGCCACCTCAGTGCTGTTACTTACTTGATGCTTTATATCAAAGTCTGGGAACTGGGAGCATTATTGATTTGACCTCTTTTAAATTTCAGCAGCTTCACAAGAGACAGAGTGAGTTAGTAAGGAATGCAAAAATATGTAAGTAATAAATATTTTCCTAGCTGAATAGCTTAGGCATATCCATTTTGTACCTTGTGTCTTCTTACCAGAGTAAGGAAGGTCGGACTGTCTTTGCTTTTGGGGGAAATCCTTCTGTTTTCCTTTCTCTCTCCTCCCTGCTTTCCCCTCTCCAAGCTGTGGGCACAACACCAGCTCTGCTTTCTCCTCCTCATAGTAGGTGTGCATTTCCTGGCTGATTGGTGTCTCTGACTGGGGGGCTCTTGGTATTTTGATTTTATTTTTTTCCCTGCATCCATAGGAGATCTGGGGATTTTTTTTTTTTTTTTAAGTGAGAAAGAGAATAAATTACCCAAGTTAAATCTGAGGAATCTGTAGCTTGTAGCTGCTACACAACTTGTCCTGTGTCACAGATGTTAACGCTAAGCGGGAATGTCGGATATATATGATGCTTCCTGGTGGGTGTAGATTAATTTGGGAGCATTGCTCATGAGCGTGGGGCAAATATGACCAACAGAAATAACCCCCAAAGCCCTAAACTCTGCCTGTGTGACTGTGTGTGCGTGCCTGTGTGCTCATCCAGCCCCACACCCTGAGTGAGCTGCTTCTCTCTCTCAGACCCTCCGCAGGTGCTACAGCCGCGTGAAGGAGCACGGCGTTGGCAAGAGGAAAAGCAGCTACACCTTTGAGCAGCTGGAGCAGGTGTTTGGGCAGGGAGGATGGGACTCCCAGCCCTGCCAGCCCGTCCTCATCAACAGCAGTGGCTTGTACCAGGAGCTGGAGTCAGACGGCAGCACGATGGAGGAATACTCTCAGGAGGACTGGGGAAACCACAGTCAGGATCTCCACTGCTACCAAACCGGCGAGCAGGAATTGGGTAAGAAATCCCATCGTGGCACATCTCCCTCCCTGGGTTTCACCTGTGCTCCTGGCTGGCTGGCACACACATACCTCTGTACCAGCGTTCACCTCTCAGATGGAATGTGGTCGTGATGTTAAACACATCCCTGGGGAGAAAAGGGGCAGAAATTCCTCAATTAATCAAAAGCAAACCATGGATCAGGACTGGAAGAAAGAAGAGCTGTTTGCCCAGAAACAGCAGAGGTGATACCATCCCTGTCTGTCCTTTCACTCCCAGTTTTACTTTCCCTCATGGGATTCAGGAGATACTTTCCTTTCCAGTGGTACCTGGGCATTACCATTCAAACACCATTTGTTTAAATTGTGAACAGGGCTTCAGCCTGCTGCTGGCAGCACCAACAACTGTAAAAAAACGTTGCTCTTTCTTATTTACCTTGATATATTGATATTAAACATGTCAATATATTTATATCCAGAGGTGTGGCCTTTTTTAAATGAAAAAATAGCAAGCAAGCTCACCCTTGATGTTTGAGACCTAAACCAAACTCTTCCACGTGCTTTTCTTGCCTGAATTAATGCTGTCTCTGCCTAAAAGTCAATTTTTAAATTAATTTGGAAGTTTAATTGTTGCTCACAGCTTTTTGAACTTTTTTAAACAGATCAGGGTACCACATCCCTGATAGAAAACACACTCCAATCTGAGCACTTCTGGGAAGAAGTGGGTTTTTTGAGGCATACTTCTCTCAAGGTATTTCTCTTATGGGTGTGCATCCCTCCCTTGCCTGAGCAGGGCTTTTCTCGCAGCAGAAGCTTTAAGTTGGTCAGATCCAATGGAGATGCAGGTGAAGAGGGTGAATTTCATAAAGGCTTTTTTTCCCCATTTATAGGATGAAAGAGGGAGAGGAGATGCAGTTGGGTATCTGTACACATCTGTGTTTGGGGGACTGGTGAGTCAGGATGCTTTGAAAGAGCCTTAGATCGCAGTTTAATGTTAAAATTTGCAAGTTGGCTGTTAACCGCATTCCAGTTCCTCAGACTCCTTCCCTGGGGGATTTAAAAGTCAGAAATATGTGGGAGAGAAACAGTGGGGAGAAGAAAATGTTACAAAACGTATGTAAATGATGGCTAATTCTGTCTGGTATGGCTTGTTATGGTGAGTCAAGCTGGGATCTCCTGGTTTGTCACCAGTTTCAGGGACATTTGCGTGTGCTTGGGCTGACGGTGCCCTTCACGCTCAGAAGTTGTGAGCAAAGCACTTGGCACAAAAGTCTGAATTGAACACAGATGCAGTTCTGCTGCCGCTTCCTCTTGAAATGTGCCATTAGAAACAGAATTGCTTTTTCTTATTTTTTTTCCGTGAAACAATGTAGTTTGCAATTCTGTCAATATGTGATTTAATAGGAGGGATTGGAGCCTTGTCCATGAATGGTTTTGCACTTGTAGAGAGAGATTCAGGTCTTAACTGACCATATCTCTTCCAAGTTAAAGAAAACTCAATCAATTACAGAGGGTGTGGGAGCTGGAGCTGTCTCATGCAGAACTCCAGCAGGCTGCCTGGCTTAGGAAGCAACTCAGATTTATTTTTTATTTAATTTCAACCTCTTTTACAAAAAAAAAAAAGCCCCTAAGAACATTATTTAAAATCTAATTACGTGTTGGAATTTTACCTTTCAGATGAAATGCCTACTACAAAAAGAACATTAAAGATAAAACAGGAATCTTCAGAAGACACGCAGTAAGTAATTTATGAATGTTTTACCCTGGAATGTATTTCCCTGGGGATAATGTGCAGGAGGGGAGGATATTTGAAACTTCTGTTTATAATTATAAATACATTGTGCAAGACTATTCATACAGTTGAATCTGCTTTATGCATTATTCCCATTACCTCAGAAGAGCTGAAAAGCTTCACAACTCTGTGTCTCCTTGGCTTTGCCATTCAGCAGACAAAACAAGACTTACTACATGGATGTGAGGCCTTAAACCACGGATAGAACCCACAAGACCAGCTCCCTTCCTTGGTGGGAAGGCATACCAAAGCTTGAGAGTCTCTGATTTTCGTTTTTATAACTTTCCAGACCTTACTGGTAACCTTTTGGCTGGGTTTAATCTAACTAACACTGGAGCCTTTTGAATGCTTTGAGCATGCGACTCTGCCTTGCTTCTCCAACAATAACACAGAGCATTCCCAAAAATGAAAGGAATTGTGCTGTGTTTACTCTGTCCAGGGCTGCTTTCTGCCAGCCTTTAGGGGTGGTTGTAGGTCTGTCTGCAGTGGGAGTGAGTCCAGGCTCACAGGAGCTCCCACACCAGTGGGTTTTAGTGTTACTGGGATTTTCCATGGTAGAAAATCAGCTGCTGTAGGGTAGGAGGTCACCAGCACTGGGAACAGCAACAGAACATCCCTGATGAGTCATAAAAGAGAGAGTCTTTGTACTGTAACTCTGTGAAAAAAAAATTCTCTAAAAACTTTAACGTAAATATAAATAAGTAAAAAGAGAAACAAATTTAAAATAAAATAACTTAAGAAAATAAAAATAATTTAAAAATAAAAATAATTAACGAGAAGCTTCCATGGCAGTGGTGTAGCTTTGGCAGACTCCTCACTTCAGGTGGATATTCACATAGCCAAAGGTGATTTTTTTCTTCACATGGAGCAAATTCATTTTAACAACTCAGGGAAAACCTGTAGAAAAACAGCTTTTTCGGTATAAACTTTTTTACTGCCACTTTGAACAGTTTATTCGTGGTGTTCTGGAGTAATTTTACTTTTAAGGAGCTCCATAGCAAATAATCCTGAATTTTCTGAGGTGAAGGCTTGGACCATGTGAATCTTCTCTTCCAAGTTTTAATGTGTACATGAACAGCTGAATTACATTTTGGTAAATGAGACCTTTCAGAGTTTTATGTTCATTTTTTTCCCCCAAATTCCCTCTAAAATACAGTGGAGTCTTTGAACTCTGGGGCATTTTGTGAAGCATGCCAGAGATAAACTTGTCCTACGTGCAGAGTGGAAGCACAGAGCATTTTCCAACACAAAGATTTGCTGAAAGCTGCTTTTCCCCTTGTCTGTGAGGAGAAGGAACTTGTAAACTCTGACTCTGTAGGTTAAAAGCAGTCAGAAGATGCACGGCTGATACAAAGATAAGCTGGGTATTTATTTATTATCTTAAAAAAATAAAATTTCATCTAAAAGCCACAGTAGATAAGTAGTTGTCAAACTCTTTCACCTCTTTGCACGGCATTTAAAAATGCAGATATCCTAGTTCAAAGTTGAGTTCATCTGCCTTCTTGGTGAATGCCAGATTTCCAACAGAAATTGTCTCCAGAAATCATTCAAATCCTGGTGAAGCTGGAAACAGAATTCTAGAATGGTTTGAGTTGGAAGGGACCTTAAAGCTCATCTCATTCCAGCCCTCTGCCATGGGCAGGGACACCTTCCACCAGAGCAGGTGGCTCCAAGTCCAGCCTGGCTTTGGGCGCTGCCAGGGATCCAGGGGCAGTCACAGCTGCTCTGGACACCCTCACAGAGAAGAATTCCCTCCTAATATCCCATCCATCCCTGCCCTCTGGCAGTGGGAAGGCACTCCCCCTTGTCCTGTCACTCTATCCACTGTCCCAAGTCTCTCTGCAGCTTTCCCCAAAGCTTCTCCTCTCCAGGTGAGCACCCCCAGCTCTCCCAGCCTGGCTCCAGAGCTGAGGGGCTCCAGCCCTTGGAGCATCTCCGTGGCCTCCTCGGGACTGGCTCCAGCAGCTCCAGCTCCTTCCCGTGCTGGGAGCCCTGAGCTGGAGGCAGCTCTGCAGGTGGGGTCTGTGCTGGGGGGCAGAGGGGCAGAATCCCCCCTGCCCTGCTGCCCACGCTGGGGATCAGCCCAGCGCAGGGGGGTTCTGGGCCAGGGCCTGTCCAGCTCTCACCCACTGCACCCCGAGTGCTCCTCCCAGAGCTGCTCCAGCCCTTCATCCCCAGCCTGGACTGGTCCTGGGGGTTGCCTGACCCAGGTGCAGCACCTGCCCTTGGCCTTGTTGAACCTCATGAGATTGCCCAAGGCCACTGATCACTTGTCCCGATCCCTCTGGATTCCAGGCTGTCCCTCAGCATGGAGCAGGAGCACATGGAAGGCGAGCAGATTGCTGCAGGTCCCAGTGCAGGTCTGTGTGAGAGCCAAGAGCTGTTTAAACCCCACCACTGGTGTCTCGTTCTCTCCTCAGCTCCCCAAGGACCCGACGCAGCGATGGCTCCGGGAACTCGCTGCACTGGGTTCATATTTGTGCAGTTTGGTTCTGCTCATAGCAGGAAGTTTTTTGCCATCAGCTTGTGTAGCCAAATGCTATGGGCACAGGAGTGGATATGAGCAAAGGAGAAATCAAGGGATAGGGAATGTCTGCACCGGGTTCCCCAAGTATCAATTAATAAGTATGGTTGGGTGAAGGAAGGCTGGATAAAGATAAGGTGTAACAGAGCCCCAAAACACTGAAAGGGCTGGGGAAAAGCAAGTTACAAATCTGGGAGGAAAAAAAGGCCAATTGCAGCTCTAGGGATTTAGTGGGCATCCTATGGATAGCTTTTAGTTTCAGCACATGTACGACCTGCCTGGGTGTCAGAGAGCAAATATCCCATCTCCTCTGAACTTCCCAACGATGTGGGACAGCAGAGCTGCCCCACTCAAGCAGTGTGTCTCCAAGTGACACAGAGAGAGCCACGGGCTGCTCTAGGGGCACATGGTAAAGGTGCTGCAAAGGCCAGAGCCCCTCTGCTCTGGAGTTAGGCTGGGAAAGATGGGAGTGTTTACCTGGAGGAGAGAAGGCTCCAGGGAGAGCTCAGAGCCCCTGCCAGGGCCTAAAGGGGCTCCAGGGGAGCTGGAGAGGGACTGGGGACAAGGGATGGAGGGACAGGACACAGGGAATGGCTCCCAGTGCCAGAGGGTTAGATGGGATATTGGGAAAGAATTCCTCTCTGTGAGGGTGGGGAGGTCCTGGATACCTGGAAGGGTCCAAGGCCAGGCTGGACAGGGCTTGGGTCAGCCTGGTCTAGTGGAAGGTGTCCCTGTCCATGGCAGGGATGGGAATGAGATGAGCTTTTCAGGTCCCTTGCAGACCAAAGTGTTCAGAGTCTGTGACACACAGGGACTTCCCACCTTTCACTTTATTTTTGGCAGTATGGGAAGCAAAGGGCAGTAGGTAACCTGTATCCATGTCCCATCCTCAATCAGGATGCTCCTTCCCCATGTCAGCTCTGCTGTTGCCTGCCCTTGGCTCTTGTCTCCAAGTAGACTGTTTTGAAAAGTGAAATGCTGCTTAGAGACTTTGAGAAGTGGTTTGATTCACTGCCGGTTTTGGGAAGATGAACTTGAGAAAACTTGTGGAGCTTCACTGCAAGCAGCTGTTCTGGGCCCTTTGAAGTCTGCCTGGTTTGGAAACAGCGCCTTAGAACAAATTTGCGCCTACTCTTGTCTCAAGTCTTTCCTAATTTGAATTGCAAAAGCTTCCAAGGAGGAAGAAATGCAGGTCCCAGACTCCAGCAGGGAGGTGATGGTTTGATAATGAGGGAAAATGCAGCTCTAGGGCACCTTCTGCAGCTGAGAAGTGAGATTGTCCTGAGACACACAACAGGTTCAACACTCTGCTCAGCTCCCATTGTCCTCCTGAAAAATGAATCATATTAACAATACAAATAAAGCAAATACATAAGTTCATGTTTAATAAATAGTTTTAAATTGTTGAATGAATGAAAATTACATTTGGCTTTAATAAATAATTAAATAATAGTAATTTTTACTGCTTATGATACCTTTGCTTGGCTAAGTCGTCAATCCTGGATTCAACCTGGGAATGCAAAGCTCAGCCAAGTCGGGTCCTGGCAAAAGCAAGAAGATGCTAAACCTGAAAAGTAAAACTCCTTAAAATTTGTCTTTCCCTGTTTTCCTCTGTGCTGGAAGCAGTGAGTTCCCTGTGGAAAGCCCTTCTCAGTGTGCTGCTGAAGCTGTGCTCTCATGCAGTGATTCCCATTCCCTGCAGGAGCAGTTGCAGTGACTAATGCAGCCGAGCTCGGGCTCCGGGTTGTGCTGAGCTAAACTGAGCAGAGTATTTATAGTGCACTTAATAAAGGTGGGGGCTTTGCTTTCAGTTCCTCAGCTGTTGAATGAAAACCTGCCCACGCCATGCTCTCCTGTCTTTGCCTTGGGTGGGGAATAACTGGAGCTCAGCTGCTGTCAGGAGTCGGGCGTGTGTGCCAGTGCTGAGACACCGAGCTGTGCTCCAGCACTGCCCTGTCCCTTGGCTGTCCTACCCCCTTGTGCCCACAAGGTAAACTTGCACTTCCAGAAGCATCAAAAAGATATTTTCCAAGCCTGGCAAAGGATCAGGGAAGCTTTAAATCAGTTTTGCCACAGTGTTTGAGTAAATGGCAATGGATTTGGGGTAAACAGGCATTCTTCTATGGGATTTCTCTCTGGTGCTGCTGCATAGTGGAACTGGCGCCTCAGGAATAACTTGCAGAAAGAAACAGAATTTCAGTGCTGATGGAATCAGTGTTTTTAAGAGCCCCTGAGCTCTGCTTGTCTAGCCTGTCCCTCCTCAGTGCTCTAGAAACTCAGTTACACTCCAATTGTGGTGGAAATGTACTTCCCAAAATGCCTTTGAAGGTCTTTTCAGGGAACTTCTGACATGGCTGGTGCTACAAAGCAGGTGAGGTTCATGAGGTGGTGATGGATGTGGTGCCAGTGTCACTGAGGAGGGAGCTGTCCCAACCTGGATGCTCAGAAATGCTTGGGGGGGCTTGGACAGCACAGGTGAGGTTTGCAGAGGTGTGCACCAACCATCATATGTCAAACCAGAGCTCTGTCCTGAGCCCAGAGCCTCCATCACCTGCAGGACACCCAGCAGCTGGAGAACCTTGCCAGAATCACGTGCCCTGTAAAAGGTTTTTTGGGATGAAAGGCTCTAAAGTGGGGACTCTCCAGCACCACAGGAAGGCTCTGCAGCTCCCAGTCCAGTTTTCCTTACATTATGATGGAAAAAGACCTACTCCCCATGGGGATTTATTGGGCAGAAATGCATCTGCCAGAGTCAGCTTTGGTTGTGGGATGTCATGTCTGCTCTTAGAGGCCTTCATGTCCCTCCCCAGTCTGGTGCTGGACTCTGTTGGGAAGAGCTGATTTTGGGGAGTTCAGGTGATCTTGAGGAACCTCCAGGAGGAGGGAAATTCGCATGTGCCCTGCAGAAGAAAACCTGTGTCACTTGGTACAGTATGTGCTCCTTGTAAGATGTGGAGGGAAAAAAATCCTCCTGGGAGTGCAGTGGCCTCCACAGTTCAGCTTTCCATATTTGACACAACAGATAAAGGAAGGAGAGTTGCATGGAAAGATTTTTTACATCCCATTTGTTGGACCAAACTCTGTTAGCAAACGAGTTGCTGTATCTTCTATGGGTTTGATTATAGAACAATAACTTCCCAAATTAGGAGTTCTCCCTACCAGCTAATTACACCCTAATGGTCTCATTTATCCTGGAGGAAGCTGTTCCAGCTCGCTGCAGGTGCACGCAGATGCTCTCTCCTGATGTAAATCCCTCTCTGAAACCTTGCTGCTGGGAGTGAAAACACATTTTCGGGAGTGTGGGGATTTCTTTCTTGGCTGTCTGGAGGGATTGCTGGTGTCCATCCCGCAGCACCGGGATGTGTTTGGGAGCATCTTCTGCTCCAGGGGTTTGGTCACTTGAGCTGGGTTTCCACCACAGTGCCAGGACAGAGCCCTTGGGAGTGGCTTCATGCTTCCATTGGGGTTTTTACAATTACAGTCCCATTTGCTGGCATTAATTTGGGGATAACAACAAGGCAGAAGTGTTTTTGAGTGGCAGCTGTGAGTTTGGGGTGCAGCTCATGGACCACTTGCTGGCTAAATCCCAGGACTGTAAAGAATGACCCAGTAGTTAAGCATGTATTTATTCAGCAGTGCCAGATACATGCTTCCTTGGAGATGCTTTGATATCAGGAGGCATTGGGGTTAGGTTTGTTTTGTCAAGATTAATTTAAAATTCCCCATCAGGGCGTTGTTACAACCCATAAACTGCCCCAGAAATATATATATATAGTAGTAAGAAAAGTCAGGCAAGAAAGCTGATGGGAATTCATATTTTCTGAATATGCATTGGGTGCATTGGCTGGGAAAGTTTTTCAGCTCAGATGCCTTTATCTTTCTCTCCCTGTTCCTTAATTTGCAGGAAGCGTGACGTCATGCAGAACATTATGCAAATCTTGGAGTCGGTCCAGTTGAAGTGGGAGCTGTTTCAGAGCTGGACGGACTTCTCCAGGCTCCACCTTTCTAACAAACTGGCCATTTTCGGCATTGGGTACAACACCCGCTGGAAGGAGGACATCCGTTACCACTACGCGGAGATCAGCTCCCAGGTGCCCCTGGGCAAGCGGCTCCGGGAATATTTCAACTCGGAAAAACCGGAGGGTCGGGTGATCATGACCCGAGTACAGAAAATGAACTGGAAAAATGTTTATTACAAATTCCTGGAGATCACCATCAGCGAAGCCAGATGTTTGGAGCTGCACATGGAGATCGACTGGATTCCCATCGCTCACTCCAAACCCACTGGAGGGAACGTGGTGCAGTATTTATTACCAGGAGGGATCCCAAAAAGCCCTGGTCTGTATGCCATTGGATATGAGGAGTGCCACGAGAAGCTCCCCTCCCCTCTGGCCGAGCACCGGGCACCCGACCCCAGCAATGAGACTCCCGGGGAGCTCGAGGTGCCCTCGCCACAGGCTTCCCTTCGGGTGGATATGGAATCTGCCCGGATTATCTACTGTTACCTCGGCATCGCCGAGGTCCGGACTCTCCAGCAGTGCCTGTTTTTACACTTCCAGGCAAACACCAAAACCTTCAGCAAAGATTGGGTCGGGATCAACGCCTTTTTATCTCAGAACTGCGTCGTAGAGCCCGGTGTCTCACCCAAATCCATCTACATCAAATTTGTGGAAGTGGAGAGGGATTTTCTGTCTGCTGGCTCTTTGGTAGAGTGCCTGGAAAAAGCCATCGGGTACCCCTTAAAATTTAACAACTGAGTCTCGTCCTTCATAAGGATCAGGGCTTTCTGCCCCATTTTCCATCTCACTGGGATCCTGTGCGTTCAGCTCCGGGCACGCGGGACTTTTCTGCCTGGCAGCGCGTGTGGGGTGCGCGGGGCCAGCGGGGCCCGGGGGACGACTGTCGGTACATTCCACGTGGGACAGGCTCACACACACGGCGTTTTCATACTGAACTGAGGGTTTGCTCTTCCCTTTATTCCACGGTGTCTCATTCGGATGCATCCGTCTCTAAGTGTTCCTCTGGATCTGACTCGATAAGCAATAGATAACGGCGAGGGAAACCCCAGCTCCCGGCCCGGGGACTGTTTTTCAAAGCCACCCTTAGATATCTTGTATATAATTTAGAACTTCACTTTTTTCACCATCGAGTGTTCTCCTCTCTCCAAACAGTGTTGCCTGCAAAGACTTTGGGTTCCGTGATGTATTCCACATCCTCAGTAGCGTTGCCATATCTGCTTTTATTTTATTTAATTTTTTTAACATTAAAATAATTCCTGGCTTTTTTTATTTTTTCTTTATTTTTTTCCTCATTAATTTTTCCCTATTTTTCTCATTACTGTCTTTTTTTAATAATTCTTTTTTCTCTTATTTCTCTCATTTTTCTCTTCTTTTTCTTTTTTCTCTATTCCTCTTTATCTTCTTTTTATCTTGTCTTTTTTGTTTGTTTTTTTAAACTTCATTATCATTTTCCTTAGTTTTTTTTTTCTTTTGATTCTTTTAATTTTGTTTTTTTATTATTTCTATTTTCACTTTTATCATTTTTTTGTCTTTTCTTCTTCTCCTTTCAGCTTCCTTTTTTCCTTTTTTTTTTTTTTTTAAATCGAGTTCCAAAAACTCTGTGAGAACAACCTGGCAGCTGGGAAAGAAAAAAAAACGATTATTTTTGTTTTGTTGTCGACCCATTGCTTATGGATACAATCAAAGCTGTGAGAAGGGGGAGGTGGGGAGGGGGAGGGAGTGGGAGGGGGGTGGGGGAGGACGCATTTATGCCTTTTTCAGCGTGTTCCTGGTCCAGCCCCGCGCGCAGCCGCCGGGGCCGGTGGGTTTTATTTCCTGGAGCTCATCCATCGGTGACGTTGTGACATACGATGAATGTGTCGGTCCTAATAAAATCAAACAAACACGACCAGAGGCTTCCACACATCCTTCTCCTTCTCTGGGGGAGTTTGGGGAGGTGCCGAGCTCTTCCCTGTGGATATTCCCATCAGGGTTTTGTCCCTGTGGATAGTCCCATCAGGGTTTTGTCTTTGTGGATATCCCCATCAGGGTTTTGTGCCTGTGGATATCCCCATCAGGGTTTTGTTCCCGTGGATATTCCCATCAGGGTTTTGTCCCTGTGGATATCCCCATCAGGGTTTTGTCCCTGTGGATATTCCCATCCGGGTTTTGTCCCTGTGGATATCCCCATTAGGATTTTGTCCCTGTGGATATTCCCATCAGGATTTTGTTCCTGTGGATATCCCCATCAGGATTTTGTCCCTGTGGATATTCCATCAGGGTTTTGTCCCTGTGGATATTCCCATCAGGATTTTGTCCCTGTGGATATTCCCATCAGGGTTTTGTCCCTGTGGATATTCCCATCAGGGTTTTGTTGTGGATATTCCCATCAGAGGTTCGTTGTTGGAGGAATTGCTGATGTTTTCTATGTGGGGTGAGCACTGCCAGAGCCGGTTGCTCTCCCTGCAGAGATTCCCAGAATCCCAAAGAAGTGAGGATCACTGCCAGTCTGGAAGTTGGCATCGCCTTTGGGTGCAGCTGAGCGCTGAGATGGTGGAGTGAGGAAGAGGAGCAGGTCACCAGTGGGTCACCAACCCACCCTCCCCACTCCCATCCTTCAGAGTAGAGGCAGAGCAAGGTGAGTTGCCCCAAGAGCTGCTGCCGAGCTGGGAGCACCGGGTGTAGCAGAGGGTGAGGATGCTGCCAGGGAGAGGTGGGCTCCTGGTGGGATCAAGCCAGGTCGATCCCCCAAAGCCTCCTTGCTCCCTGCAGTCCTGGAGGCTAGGCTGGATTTACGGCGGGGCGGCGAGGGCGAGAAGGGATTAATTCTGCCCCCACCACCTCCTCCTCCTCCAGCAGTGTCTAATCTCTGCTGGGGCTTGAGGTCTGACCCTGCTCTGATCGAGGACCGGGATAACCCTGGCTGAGCCGGGGAGGATCCACCCGAGGCTCCCGAAAACCAGGTAGTCAAAATTGGCCTTTTTCTGGATATTGTTTATTTTTCAGGATCGATGCGTTTATCTGAAGCGGGGTGGGGGGTGTTGGATGAGTGTGAGGGTGCAGAAGGGGATATTCCACCCTGCCGGCGTGGGAAGGATGAGAACGGGGAAGATTTGGGGTCCCTGTGCTCCCCGTGGGGGAGGGTGACATTTGACATTGCGCTGCCCATAGAAGCAATAACAACCCATATAACTAACGAATAACTGCGCACTCGGGGGAGGGCCGGACCCGGGGGAGGGTCAGTGCCGGGGAGCGGACACCCCCGCGGGGTGTGGAGGGCTCGGGCCCGCCCCCACCTGCGCGGGCCCGCCCCGCACCGCGGCCCCCCCGCACCTGCGGAGCGGCTCCGGCCATGGGCGCGCTGCGGCGGGCGGCGCTGGCGCTGGCGGCGCTGCTGGGTGAGCCCCGGGCGAGGGGTACCCCGAGGGGGCCCGACGCGATGCGGGGCGCGGGGGATGCCGGCAGGATCCGGGGGAGCTTCGGGGATGCGGCCGGGGAGGTCCGGCGGGGCTGCGCGGGGGGCGCGGCAGATACCGGGGGTGCGCCCGGTGGGACTCGGAAAAAGCGGGATAACCGAGCGAGAGCTTTTGGGAGAGCATCGGGCAGGACCCGGAGATTCCGAGGGTGTGGGAACAGCCGCTCGGGACGTGAGGGACGCGGTGGGGTACCGGGGGTGCTCCCCGTGGGACTCGGGAAAAGCGGGATAACCGAGCGAGAGATTTGGGAAGGTATCGGGCAGGACCCGGAGATCCCGAGGGGTCGCCGGGCAGGGTGTGAGAGCAGCCGGGAGCGAGAGATTTGGGAAGGCATCGGTGAGGACCCGGAGATTCCGAGGGGTCACCGGGCAGGGTGTGGGAGCAGCCGCGAGGGACGCGGTGGGTACCGGGGGTGCTCCCCGTGGGACTCGGGAAAAGCGGGATAACCGACAGAGAGATTTGGGAAGGTATAGGGCAGGACCCGGAGATTCCGAGGAGCAGCCGGAGGCACCGGGCAAGACACCCGGCGCCCGGCACAGGCAGGATTTGGGATGCTTTAGGGTGGCACCGGCAAGGACCGTGGGGTAGCAGGGGCGGGGGTCACAGCACCCACCTGTCTCTGTGCCCCCGGTCCCCTACCCCAGCAGGCAGCTTGGCAGGGAAAGCGGGGCAGAGATAAATCCACCACCCACCCTTTTAGGATGCTCGGAGTGGAAAAAATCTGAGTCTTCCCGGGAAAAACCATTTGTAACTTGGAGCTGCCACTTCCAGCACCCCCAAAGCCGATGTACCCCCATATGGGGACACGCCAGGGACTCCAAAGTGAGAGGGCACAGTTCACCTCCCTGCGTGGCACTGGGAGGAAAAAATCCACTTGTTTCCCCTTGTTTACTGGAGCTGCACAGCCACCCCAGCTGGTTTTGAGGTTAGGGAGCTCAGTGCTTCTCTGTCCACGGGTTTTTCCCTTCTTCCACCCCTAATTTCCCAGATTATTTGAGTTCTTTTGGAACTGCCACAGTTGCTCCAAAAGGAAACATCCTTTGGCGTTCCCAGTGAAGGAGAGGCCTTTGGGGAAAGGAAACGGCCCCAGAAACAATGGCAGCAGCATTTCCTTCCAGCAGAACATTGGGTGGGGGTCCTGGAGCCGCCACTTGTTCCTCCTTGAAGGTTTTCTTCCTTGATAAAAGTTAATTAAAGCATGTTTGTATGAGGCATGGGGGTTATTCAGCCCTTAAATCCCACCAGGGCGCTCCTTTGCCGCATCCTGATGGTGCTTTTTGCATGGAATCATGATGGATTCCCACAAAAAAAAATCACACTTGAGCCCTGGGATGTGACATCACAGGCACTGACAGCTCAAAAATGTAGCAAAAAGACTCTTTTGAACCCCGAATGTGTGTTTTTCCTTTAGTCTTCCTTTCAAGCAATCCTTCCTCGTCCCGTGGGATCCTCATGGGATTGTGATGGGGAAAAGTAAAATGAAGAATATTTGCCATCCTTGTTTTCTTCCCAGTCCCCAACCCCAATCCCTCCCTCAATCCCATCCCAATCTCATCCCCTGCCCACCCCATCCCATCTCTGCCTCTCCCTCCCACACCAGGGGTGAAGCACGTTTCCATCTATAGCAAAGTCACATATGATTATTGCATTATTTAATTTTTTTTCCCCAAATTTGGTCTCTCTGGAGGATAGGGCACTTTCTGCCCCCCCCCCCAGCCCCGGGGTCGTGGGAAATGCCGCTGTGGATTTTCCCAAGGGACGCAGCTCCACAGCCCAACATCTCCTATCTGCCCGTTTATAAATAGTCAAAGTTAAGGGAAGAAAAGGAAAAAAATTCCCCAAAAATCATTTTAAAAAAGGGAAGGCGACTGGCTGCCTTGCAGTGCCGAGATGCTCCTTGACCTTTTTCCAAGCTTTTTCAAGGGTCCCTTTTCCGGCCAGATTCCCGCTGTGTATTTTAAATCCCAAGCTTGGTCTTTTGGGATTTAATTTGGGTCTGGGTTTCACATGACTCCAGCGCCTTAATCCTATCAAGCAGGGTCATCAAACCCCAACTGCCTCCGGGATTTAATTCCCATACAGTTAATGGTTTAGAAACTCGGGGACGGGGAGTTTGATTTTTGGGGGTTCAGGGCGTGCCAGAGCCAAGAAACAGCTTTTTCTGGGGGGTGAAAGGATGCAATTTTAGATGAGGATAGGGTGATTGATATCAGCTCAGGGATTAATGTTAAGATTGCAGGGATTTAAAGGTGATTTTTCTTTTCCATAGGGAATAAATTCAAAGAGAAATTAAAAGCTGTTTCTAAATCTTTTTTTCACGGGAAAATTTAAAATATTTTAAAATGCTAAATTGTGAGGTATTTATTCCATAAGGAAAAAAAATTATAGCTATTTTTAAAGGTAAATTTAAGTCTATTCTGTTTTTCCATATGCAAAAAAAATCCCAGCAGATGGGCTGGGGAGGAGGGAAAACACCCGGGCAGGTGTTTAGCTCAGGGCAGCTGGATAAAAATCCAGTTTTTGAGCCCAAAGAGAGGCAGGAGGGGCTGAGGGCCCCCCTGGATGTGTATGAGCACCACGAGCAGCTTAATTTTTTCGATCTGGTTAAAGCATTAGAGGATTTGGAGCGTCGAGGTGGCCAAAGGCAGAGCTGTGCCAGGGGGTTCATCCCGTGCTGCAGCTCCAAACCCGCCCCACCGGCCTTTTTTGGGGTCCCAGCTGTCTGAGATGAGGAATTTGGGTGAATTCTGCAAGAAGGGGATTTTGGGGCGCGAGCAGCCTTCAGGTCTGTGTCCATCTCCCTCCCCTGATACAGGTGATGGAGCTGGGATCTCCTGCTGCTGCAGGAGTTTTAAGGATGACAGAGCAAAGCTGCAGCCCCAGAGCACAATTAACATAATTAACGTGCTCACCATTAGGTTTCAGGGTTAGCACACCCCAGTTTGCAGCTCCTGGAGCAGCTTTGGGGCTGTTTTAGTGCCTTGGGGTGTGATGGGAATCCTCTGGCTGGTGCCAGAGCATTTTTCCCTCTCTGGAGCCTGGATTTCCCCAGGAATCCCCAGCACCCTTTGGCCCAGCACCCTTTTTGTGCCCCAAAAATGATGCTGATGGAGGAGGTGGGATGAAAAACCTGGATTTTCCAGCTGTTGGGAATGCACGGGGGTGTAGAAGCTGTGGAGTCATTTGCTGATGCCATCTGAATAATTAATGAACTATATAATTAATAATATTTTATTATTATTATCATTATAATCATAATACTTATCATTTTTATTACTATTATAATTATAATCACTGTTATAATTCTTATTATAACTATTATAACCGTTACAATTATTTTTATTAAGTTGCAATTATAATTCTTCAACAAGGTCTATTACCTGTTATCTCTAATATTTCTAATAGAAATTACAATACAATTATTGAATATAATCTATTTTCTTCAAGATAATCCCAATTTAACACACTTTTATAATGATGGAGGATCTGGGCTGAAAACACCTGGATTTTCCCAGTTGTTGGGAATATAGGGAGGTTTAGGGGCTGTGCCATCTGCATAATTTATTTTTGTTATTGTTATTATTTCTATTATTATCAGTATTATAATTATTATGACTGTCATCATTATTTATTGGAATCATTGTTATAATTATTATAATCACGATTACCATTATTATTATTCCCATTATTAATATTACTTTTATCATTATTATTCCCACTTTTATAATTATTATTCTCACTTTGATCATTACTCTCATTATTCTGAGCACTATTATCACTCTCACATCCCCACTATTATCCCTATTCTTACAAAAATATACCTGTATTTATAACTATTACTAATTATACGTTCTCAATGCTCTATTTTGCTCTGGAAACTCCAATTTAATGAGTCGCCATCCCATATTTCATTCCACTTTCTTTACATTTAATACAATTATCTGTATAATTACATATAAATATGCTATAATTACCATTATTTTTCCATACTCTCTATTGGATGTGATACCACAGCTGTATATCATTAATAAATAATTTTATCAATGATTTGGGACCTGCAGGCGCCTCCAGCATCTCCCCCCCCAAACCCTCCAGGATTTAAAGGTTTATGTTCTTAGCCTGGGTGAGCTATTTTTACGCATCCTCACCAGACTGGCCCTTATTTCTCCCAGTTTTTCACCAGAGAAAGGAAATGTAATTATTTTTTTTAATTCCTGAGAAGACTTATCAGGCGGAGCAGAGTTTCCTGCCTGGAGCTGGAAGGCTCCGTCCGGAAATGGCACCAAAGCCTTGCCGGGAGGGGGATGAACAGATGCAGGAGGAGACTAAAAATACCCCCCAGTGCCTTGTTTTCCTCTTCCCACCCTGGAAAAATCCAATTAAACCCTCAGAGCTCTTAGGGAAAAGTGTGAGGTTGTTGAAAGCTCCTGAAATCCTTCAAAGGCAGGGGTTTTTCCCTGCAAAGGGAGGATTTGGGATGAGGGGGGAGCATCATCCTTTCCCCGCTGCATCCCTGGGGCGCCGGCAGGAGCGGGGCCAGCCGGGGTCACGGATCGATGGGTGGATGCAGGGATGGAGCTGCGGGGATGCAGGGCCTCGGTGATGTTCCCCTGGGAAAAAAACAGCCCCAGCACACACCCAGCCGTGCCTGAGCCCGTTCATTTCCTGGCTGAGCCCTTGGGGAAAGCTGGGGAATGATCTTCCCCCGGGAGCTGAGCACCCCTCTCTGCTCCGGGGTACCACTCGTACCCCAGCGCCTCCTCCCCGTGGGGCTGGGGGGATGCAGGGATGCAGGGGACATGGGGTGGGATATTTGGGGTCAAATGAGGTGGGACACCCAAGGAAGCCACTCATGGATTATCCCAATTTAGTGCTGGCAGCAAAAATGGGGTTACTGGAATACTGGGTGCATACGTGGAGCCCTACAAATAAACCCCATGGGATCTGGTGCAGCGTCGTGGGAGGCTGGGCGTACCCCAAAACTGAGCTAAGGGGGTGTCTGCCTGCTGGAGCTGGCTGTTTCCTGGGAAGGGTGACTTGGGCCTTAGGAATTCCCAAGCTGAGTGTGGGGTGGAAGCTGAGAGGGGAGGGAGCAGCAACGTCCTTCCTGAAAGCCCTTCCTGTGGCAGGGAAGGAGGCAAAATGTTCTCTTGGCTCAGCTTCCTGGTGATAACCCGGGATTGTTGTTTTTGTCTTGGGAATGGGGTTTTTTCCCACAGCCAGTGAGGCTTTGTGGGGAGTGGTAACACCTGGGCTTGAGTCATTTCCAGGTTTCTCCCTTCTCCCACGGGCAGGTGTCTCCTTGGCCGTGCTGGAGGTGCACGTGGGGACGAGCCTGGTGCTGTCTGTGGAGGGGCAGCAGGCGGTGCTGCCTGCCTGGTACACCAGCCACTCCCAGAACGAGCCCTACGTCACCTGGATGCTGAACAAGAATCCTGGTCCCTTCCAGGTAAGAAGAGGGCAGGGGCTGCAGGACTGGCCAAGCTGGGAGGTGACCATGGAGGGGGTGGTGCCCATGGTGGGGGACGATTGTGGTGCCCAGCATGAGGTAGTGGCCACGGTGCCTGCGGTGGAAGGGTGCCCATGGTGACGAGGTGGCCACGATGGAAGGAAGCTCATGGTGCCCACCATGTGATGCTCATGATGGGATGGCATTCGTGGTGCCCATGCAGGAAAGATGCCCACAGTGGGTAAGTGGCCATGATGGGGGAGCTCATGGTGGCCCACAATGGGTGTCGATGTGGTGCCCACGATGGGGAGATGCCCACAAAGAGGAGATGCTCATGGTGGGGACGTGCCCATGGGGAGATGTGTGCAGTTCCCACTTGTTCCGTGCTTGTGGTGCCCATGGTGGATGTGGGAATCCAGGGCTTCCCTCTGGCTGCCCTGGCAGGTCTGGGACCCTGGCAGGGGTCAGGAACCCCCCTGGACACAGCCCCCAGAGACACTGGCTGTGATCTCTGGCCATGGAAAAGAGTTTTCAATCTTACAGGATGAATTACAAGCTTTGAGTGTTTGATAAGAGTAATAATTAAGTGTGGCATGGGTGCAAAAGTAAAATTTTAGGATTCTAGATAAGGGGTCCAAAGGGGACAAAATGGAGGAATTGGGTGTGTCTTGTCCTTTTTCTCCTTCTTCATGCCCTCCATGTTTCACTGTGGTGTTGGCATTTTTCTGTTGGTTTAGGCTGGGGACACACTGTCCAACGTAGGTGACAGATATTGGCACGTTATTGTAAATCCAGCACAGGTGGTTTGTGGTATTTAATGTTTGTACCATCCCACTGAGGGCAGAGCCCCACACGCTGCCCTGCAGGACAGAGCTGCGGCAGGGCAGCAGAACATGTTAGAGATAAACAGAATAAACAACCTTGAAACAGCACAGACCAATTATGGCTTCTGCTTTGGCAGCGGGGCAGAAAGACAGAGACTTTCTACAATCTCAGAATCACCAATACCACAGATTCCAACAGGTGGAGAGCTGGCCCATGATGGGGTGAAGTTCATGCCGCCCACCATGGGCAGGTGACCACCATGGGGGACGTGCTCATGGTGCCCATGATGAGGACATCCCCATGGGGCCATCCCCATCCCCGTGGGGAGCTGCTTGTGGTGCCCGTGATGGGCGGGTGTCCACCGTGGGGGAATCTCATGGTGCCCACCACAGGGGTGCCCTTGAAGGGGGGTGCTCATGGTGATGTGAAGATGCCCATGATGAGGTCATGCCCACAGTGACTGCAGTAGGGAGGTCCTGTGGTGCCCACAGAGGGGAGAGACACAAGATGGGGAGAGATCCAAGATGGGGAGATGCCCATACAGGGAGGTGTTTATGGTGCCCACGGCGGGAAATGCTTACAGTGGGGAGATGATCGTGGTCCTCGTGATCAGGAGGTGCCTACAGTGGGGAGATGCTCACTGTGCCCATGAGGGGAGATGCCCACACTGGGGTCATGCCCAGGGTGCCTGCAATAGGGAGGTGCTTGTTGTCCTCACCATGGTGGGGAGATGTCCTTGGAAAATGCCCATGGTGCCTACAGTGGGAAAATGTCCACAGTGGGGGCATCACTTGTGGTGCTCCTGGTGGGGAGATGCTCATGGTGGGACAGTTCCTCACAGTGCCCATGCCAGGGGTATTTGTGCTGTGGTGGGAAGCTGCCTGCAGTTCCCATGTCCGGGATGCTTAGGGGAGGTAAGGCAGGAGGGGGCTTATGCAGCAACCACTGCTCTACAAAATTTGGGATTTGGGGGGCTTTTCTCTCCAGCAGCACAGTCTGGAAGGGAAAGCATGTGGTTTTTTCCCCTGTGCAGATCCTGTCCTACATAGGCGGGGTGGTGAAGGTGGAAGAGACAGATCTGAAGCCCCGCGTGGGGTTCCTGCACCCCATCTTCACCCACAACATCTCGGTGTTCATCAACGCCACGCGGGAGGAGGACTCGGGTCAGTACATGTGCACCGTCAACGTGGTGGATGACTCCATCAAGCTGCACAAGAACATCGGCCTCATCAACCTCACCGTCCTGGGTAAGGCTCCTCCGGTCACCCCGGCTCCTTTGGGCCTCCCCGTGGTGCCCCTCAGGAGTGACATCTGTGCCCACAGTGCCGCCGGCCGCGCCCACCTGCCAACTGCACGGCAACGCCGTCGTGGGGGCCAACGTGACCCTGAGCTGCTCCTCCAGGAAGGGCAAACCCTCGCCCATGTACCAGTGGCAGCGCCAGCCGCCCACCCTGCAGGTCTTCTTCCCCCCTGCCCAGGGTAAGGTGGCACCGGTGTGGGGCTGGGAGTGGGGTGGGTGGTTGGGTGGGAATATCCTGAGAAAATTCAGCTGAAGGATTTTTGGCTTCATCCCCTTAACCACTTCTTAACGTAACTACTCCTTATCTCCTCCTGCATAAGGAGGTGGAGAGTGTAGGAATGGCTCTGAGGCAGCACCCAAATTTCTCACCTGCAGACCGGGTCAAGGGCACCCTCAAGCTGACCAACCTCTCCCTGGAAATGTCGGGGGTCTACGTGTGCAGGGCTGAAAACCAAGCGGGTTCTAAGAACTGCAGCATTGTCCTGGAGGTACACTCAAGTGAGTACGTGTCCACAGGGTCGGGGAGGGGGACACAGTCCCCATGAGGTCCCTGTGGGAATAAGGCAATAAGGGAATCTCTTCTCTCTCTGGCAGCGAGCACCAAAGCAGTGATTGCCGGCGCCGTGCTGGGCTCCCTGGGTGCCCTGGCCACCATCATCTTCTTCGCCCAGAAGCTCGTTGGCTACAGGAGGAAAAAGCGTGACAGCCAGGAGGAGGGACCCAACGAGATCAAGTGAGGCTCTCTTCCTGTGGAGGGGTTCAAATCATCCGTAGGTTTCAGGGTTAATGGGTGAGGAGCGTGTTTCCACCTCTGGCCTGTTATTTCTCAGAGTTAATAGTGGGGAGGAGTTCTTAATCTCTGGGCAGTCATCAATATGCTCCAGAGGTAACAATCAGGGAGAAAGATTCCACCTCTGGCCAGCTGTCATGTCGGAGTTAAGGAGGGCATTTTCCACCGCTGTTTTCCCCTTCCCCTTTTGTGCCTGTGTTTGGGGTCCGGGATGCCTGTACAACCTCATTGCTCAGGAAGAGGATGCACGGGAGGGTTCCCAGAGCTGATCTTTTTGACCTTCTCCCCTCTTGGCAGGGAAGACGCCGTGGCACCCAAAACCCCATCGTGGGCAAGGAGACCAGCCTCGGACACCATGTCCAAAACCAGCACCCTGTCCTCCCTGGCCGGCAGCCGCCAAACCTACGGGGCCAGAGCCCCCTCGGACACCGCCTCCATCCTCACCACCACCGGCAGCTACCGGGGACCCCCTCCCCGGCCCGGGGGGCGGCCCCCCAGCCTGTCCCCCCCCGCCGTTAACGGGACCTCCCGGCGCCGCCAGGACCCCCCCGCCGCTCCCGGGGGCTCCGTGCCCCCCTCCAGCCTGGCACGGACCGGCGCCGTCCCCGTCATGGTGCCAGCGCAGAGCCGGGCCGGCTCCTTGGTCTGAGCCCACCCCACCAAACTGGGGTGCCCATGGCACCATGGGGTGGCTTTTGTCCCTTTTTGGGTTTTTTTTGCTTTTTAACAGATGCCTCGAGCAGCTGGACTCATCGTGGGTGTGTTTAATGGGTGCAGCGGCTCTCTGGGTTTGGAGGGACCGAGTCTCCCCATAAATATCACCCCCCAAACCAGCCCCAGCCCTGCCTCAGGGGGTCCCCTTCTTATTTTTTTTTTCTATATCTATATATCAGGTGAAATGAGGGATTTTTCATAAAAGAGCATTTTAAGTTGGGTGGGGAGGGTGGTGACAGTGACACACACACACACACACACACACACACACAGAGACACACACACTCTTTTTTTAGGGGTTTTCTGATTAAAAGTTGCAGCACTGCCCAGCACCGGTGCTTTGGGTGAGTTTGTGTGGATTTCAAGGTGGGGAGGGATGTCCCACAACCTTCTGGCTGATGTCACAGTGCCCCAGCCAAGGTCCTCAGGGTGAGGTGACATCATGATGCACGTGTTGTCACACCTGTGACCGTGATGTCACTCCCCGTGTCAGGAGGTGTGATGATGCAATGAGTGTGTGACATCACTGCGTCTGCCTGACGCCTGCATGGTGCCATACAGGCATGTCCCATGTCCAGTGGGATGTCATGTGTGCCTGCATCGTGTCACATCATCACACGGCAGCGCTGATGTGACACGTGCCTGTATGATGTCCCCCCATGGTCATGCCTGGCAGTGATGTCACACACAGTGGAATGATGTCACTCCAGCCATCACACACACCTGTATGATGTCACACATCCAGCAGTGATGTCACACACACCTGTATGGTGTCACACATCCAGCAGTGACATCACACACACCTTTATGGTGTCACACATCCAGAAATGATGTCACACACACCTGTATGGTGTCACACATCCAGCAGTGACGTCACACACACCTTTATGATGTCACACATCCAGAAATGATGTCACACACACCTTTATGGTGTCACACATCCAGCAGTGATGTCACACACACCTGCACGGTGTCACACATCCAGCAGTGATGTCACACACACCTTTATGGTGTCACAGCAGCTGTCACTTGTCCAGTAGTGACACCATGCCAGCACCAGTCATGTCCCAGCCATGAGTGATGTCCCACCACACCCTGAGCACCAGTGTGACATCGTGCCAGCTGTCACACGCGTGGCAGTGCTGTCACACGTGTGGCAGGGATGTCACACGTGCCTGTAGGATGCTGCACGCTCCCATGGGAGATCACTGCCGGGCCCCACCTGCCCCACGCCCCTCCCACCCCTGCCCGCTGTCACCTCACCGCTCTGGTGACACCAAAAGGCACCGAGGACAGGGGGGGCTCTGGCAGGGGCGTTTATTGGGGCAGGGGGTGTCTGGGGCGGGGGAGGGCAGCCAGGGACAGGGGCCGAGCCTGGCTGTGGGGGCACCCCGGGGGACGCATGCGGGGGGCAGGGGGTGAAGCAGGGGCTCCTGGGCCTCGGCGGGCGGCGGTGGGGGGGACTCGGTGGCGAGGGGGTTCCGCTGAGCAGCTGGTGGCCCCTGCAAGCAAGGAGAGAGCGAGTGGTCAGCCCGGGCTGGCCCTGCCTGCACCCTGCACCCTGAGCCCTGCCTGCACCCTGAGCCTTGCCTATACCCTGTGTTCTTTCTGCACCTTTAGTGCTCTCTGCACCCTGTGCCTGCCTGCACCCTGCACCCTGCACCCTGCACCCTGAGCCTTGCCTGTACCCTGCACCCTGCACCCTGCACCCTGCCTGCACCCTGCACCCTGTGCCCTGCCTGTACCTTTAGTGCTCTCTGCACCCTGTGCCTGCCTGCACCCCATGCCCTGTGCCCTGCACCCTGAGCCTTATTTGTACCCTGTATTCTTTCTGAACCTTTAGTGCTCTCTGCACCCTGCACCCTGCCTGCACCCCATGCCCTGTCTGCACCCTGCCTGTACCCTGCACCCTGCCTGCACCCTGCACCCTTCGCCCTGCCTGCACCCTGCACCCTTCGCCCTGCCTGTACCCTGTACCCTGCAACCTGCCTGCACCCTGTACCCTTCACCCTTCACCCTGCACCCTGTACCCTGTACCCTGCACCCTGCACCCTGTACCCTGCACCCTGTACCCTGCACCCTGCACCCTGTGCCGGCCTGCACCCTGCACCCTGCACCCTGCACCTTTCACCCTGCCTGTACCCTGCACCCTTCCTGCACCCTGCACCCTGCACCCTGCACCCTGCCTGCACCCTGCTCACGTGCTGCCCCTGCAGCCCGCACCCTCTCCATGCCCTCCCCCTGCCCACACCCTGCCCGTGCTCTACTTGCAGCCCGCCCACACCCTGCCCACACCCTTGTCCTGCCTCCACTGCTGCCCACTCTGTCCTCACCCAGCCCAGGAACCCGGGGGGACCTCTGCCTGCACCCCGCCAGGCAGAGCACCGTGGCAGGAGGAGGGGAACCTGGCACCCCTGCTGCCAACCTGCTCAGCCCCCATAACAAGGCATCCCAAAGGAACCTCTGGGCCCTAAGAAGCTGCACAGCACCTGCACTTGGCAGTTGCCTCCCCACTGCAGTCCTGTGACAGCCTCACTGCAGCCCCAGTGCAGCCCCAGTGCATCCTTGCTCAAGCCTCACGGCAGCCCCATTGAATCCCCGTTGCATCTTCAGTTCCTTCCCACTGCATCCTCACTGAATCTCTGTTGCTTCCCCACTGCACCCCCAGTTCGTCCCCACACATCCTCACTGCATCCCCTGTGCAGCCCCACTGTGTTTCCACATTGTCCCCACTGGATCGTCACAAAATCCCCACTGCATCCCCAGTCCATTCTCATCCCAGCCCCACTGAACTGCCTCCCCATCCTCAGTGCATGCTCACTGCATTTTCACTGAATCACCAGTGCATTCTCACTGCATCCCCATTGCTTCCCCAGCACGTCTCAGTTCTGTTCCCACTGTACCCTCAGTTCATCCCCACCGGGTCCCAGCTGAGCTCCAGTTCCATCCCCGCTGCCTCCTCAGTTCCTTCCCACTGCAGCCTTGCTGAATCTCCACTGCATCCTCCCTGCATCCTCCCTGCATCCTCCCTGCATCCTCCCTGCATCCTCACTGCACCTCACTGCATCCTTCTCTTCCTCCCCGCTGCATTCTCGCTGCGTCTTCCGTTCCTCCCCACTGTATCTGCGCTACATCCCCACTGCATTCCTACTCCATTCCTACTCCGTTCCTACTCCGTTCCTACTCTGTCCCGGCTCCATCCCTGCTCCATCCCAGCTCCATCCCAGCTCCATCCAGCTCCATCCCAGCTCCATCCAGCTCCATTCCAGCTCCATCCAGCTCCATCCCAGCTCCATCCCAGCTCCGCTCCTACTCCATCCCAGTTCCATCCAGCTCCATCCAGCTCCATCCAGCTCCATCCCATCTCCATCCCAGCTCCATCCCAGCTCCATCCAGCTCCATCCAGCTCCATCCCAGCCCCATTCCAGCTCCATCCCAGTTCCATCCCATCTCCATCCCATCTCCATCCCAGCTCCATCCAGCTCCATCCCAGCTCCATCCCAGCTCCATCCCAGCTCCGTCCCAGCTCCATCCCAGCTCCATCCCAGCTCCATCCCAGCTCCATCCCAGCTCCATCCCAGCTCTATCCCAGCTCCATCCCAGCTCTATCCCAGCTCCATCCCAGCTCCATCCCATCTCCATCCCAGCTCCATCCCATCTCCATCCCAGCTCCATCCCAGCTCCATCCCATCTCCATCCAGCTCCATCCCAGTTCCATCCCAGCTCCATCCCAGCTCCATCCAGCTCCACCCCAGCTCCATCCAGCTCCATCCCAGCTCCATCCAGCTCCATCCCAGCTCCATCCCAGCTCCATCCCAGCTCTATCCCAGCTCCATCCCAGCTCCATCCCAGATCCGTGTCCCAGCTCCATCCCAGCTCCATCCCAGCTCCATCCCAGCTCCATCCCAGCTCCATCCCAGCTCCATCCCAGCTCCATCCCAGCTCCATCCAGCTCCATCCAGCTCCATCCAGCTCCATCCCTGCTCCATCCCAGCTCCATCCCAGCTCCATCCCTGCTCCATCCCAGCTCCATCCCAGCTCCATCCAGCTCCATCCAGCTCCATCCCAGCTCCATCCCAGCTCCATCCCAGCTCTGTTCCTACTCCATCCCATCTCCATCCCATCTCCATCCAGCTCCATCCCAGCTCCATCCCAGCTCTATCCAGCTCCATCCAGTTCCATCCCAGCTCCATCCCAGCCGCACCCGGTCCCACCCCAGCTCCATCCCAGCTCCATCCAGCTCCATCCCAGCTCTATCCCAGCTCCATCCCAGCTCCATCCCAGCTCCATCCAGCTCCATCCAGCTCCATCCAGTTCCATCCCAGCTCCATCCCAGCCGCACCCGGTCCCACCCCAGCCCCGCCACACTCCCGTGGCCGAACCGGCAGCACGGCCTCCCGCCGCCAGCCCCGGGCCGGCCCCGCCGCTGTCCGGGGCCAGCCGCGCTCACGGCACCGGCACCGGGGCACCGACACGGGGCACGGCCCGGGCACGGCGCAGCCGCCACCCGGGCTCCAATGCCACGCGGCCTCGGCACCGTGGGCGCTTTTTAAATTTACCTTTTCCTGCCAGGAGACTGTGACACAGGCTTTTAAAAATAGCATGTGCTGAGGCGAGGCGCTCGGGGTGGTGTTGCTAAGGGAGAGATTCAATCCAAATCTAGGGCTGCGCCTTCCCATCCTACTTCCCATCCTTCCCAACTACTACGGCGCGCACCCAAATTTAGGGCAAGGCAGGGGCTGCCTGCCTGTGTGTTGCCATCTCCTGGGAGGAAAAACCCCTTCTCCACCCTGAACCGGTGCGGGGAAGGTCGCTCCATCCCAAATCTGCGCAGGGAAGAATGCTCCATCCCAAATCTGCGCAGAGCAGAATGTTCCATCCCAAATCTCTGCAGGGAAGGGTGCTCCATCCCAAATCAGCTTGGGGAAGGATGCTCCATCCCAAATCAACAGAGCAAAGGACACTCAGAGCAGCTTCCTTGTAGAAATGACCCGGTTTTGGGGGGAAGAAGCGGGATTTGGGGTGTACCTAGTCACCGTTGCGGAGGTCGCCGCCGCGGGTGCTGTTGGTGCACTCGGCGTCCTTGGTTTTCCGATCAATCTCACCCCCTTTGATCTTCTTGCGGGTCATATGGCCACGGAAACTAGCCTGGATCTTGGCAGCTGCCGCGTTGGCATCAGGATCGTCCAAAGGGATGTCCAGGATGTCCTCGTCCAGCTTTGTGCAGGCTCCCTCCTGACGGTGGCAATGGCAGGGTTACAGCTGGTGGGACCTCACCAGCGCAGCCCCCTCCCCAAATCAATCCATTCAAGAAGGTCTTAAATCAGCCCCTGTTCTAAAAATTAGGTTTACTCATTAAAAATAGGCTCCTTTGCTAAAAATGAGGGTCCCTTGCAGGTGTCTTGGGGAAATGGCAAGCAAAGCTGCAGGCGGGGGAAGATGCTTCACCTCCCACTCGTTCCTAAATCCCACCCTGGACCACACGGCTGCAGGAAGCCAAACTCCAGCCAGGGTTATGATGCAGGGAGAAGAGAATCCATGGGAACACAGGATGGGTTCTGGCAGGTATTTTTGGCAGGGGGCTGGGGGCCATCCTGCATAAAATGAGCTGGTCATGCCTCAGTTTCCCCTTTCCTCACAGCCTGTTGCATCGTCCTGCATCCCTCCTCAGGGCTTGGGTTGAAAACACCTGGAAATTTGGGAAAGCGTGACAACAGAAGGGAGGAAAAGCCCTGCCAAGGATAAATCACTGCAACCCGTTCCCCTCCTGCCACATCCCACCAGAGCAGTTGGACTCAGCACCAAGTTCCACAAGAAAAAAAAAAAAAACATGGGGAAAAGAAATGAGGTGGAAATGAGCTGGCATTGGATGATCCAGAGCCAGCAGCTGTGGGGGTGATGCCTTTATGTTGCCCCACGAGCACTTGAAAGGACTAAAAGGAGTTTTGGGGGGTTTATTTGGAAGCTGTAAGTTCGGGGAGGGGGGAGGAAGCTCATCCCGTTGGAGCCTGACGTGGCTCCACAAAGTTACTCGGGTTGTTTTACCATTGTGAAAGGTGAGGACAGGTCCAAGGTGGAAATGATATGTCCAGGGTGGAAATGTTATAGCCAGGGCTGGAAATCCTATAGCCAGGGGAGAAATCCTATAGCCAGGGGAAGGAAATCCTATATCTAGGAAAGAAAGCCTAGATTCAGGAAAGAGATCCTATATATGCAGAGGTGGGGGAGAACAACATATATCCAGGGGAGAAATCCTATACACAGGTGTGAGAAACCTACATCCAGGGGAGAAATACTATATCTGGAGAAGGGAATCTTATAGTCAAGGGAGAAAACCTATACACGGAGGAGCATATCCTATATCCAGGCGAGAAATCCTATAGCCAAGAGAGAAATCCTATGTTAGGAGAGAGGAAATCCTATATCCAGGGAATAAATACCATATACAGGTGGAGGAAATCTATATATGCAGGGTTATAGCCTATATCCAGGGAAGAAATCCTATATTCAGGGAAGAAATCATACATACAGGTGGCAGAAACCTGTATCCAAGTTGAGAAATCCTGTATATAGGTAGGAAAAATATATTCAGGAGAAAAAAATCCTATATCCAGGGGAGACATCCTATATTCAGGGGAGAAAACTCATAAACAGGGGGCCATATCCTATATTCATAGGAGAAATCCTATTTCCAATGGAAAAACACCATATTCATGGTGTGAAAGCCTCTATGCAGCTGATGAAACTTGTATCTAGGAGAGAAATCCTATATTCAGAAGGAGAAATCCTACATGTGAGGGAAAAAGTCCTATACATAAGGGAGAAATCCTATATCCAGGCAGGATAATTCCTATATCCAGGGTGGGCTTTGCCTCTCTGGAGGTGCCCAGGAGGAGAGATGGGGGCTTTTCCCTGCGCTGCTGTCTTAGCAGGAGGGAGAAAACAGAGGGGGAAAGTGGGGAAGGGGAAAAAAGGGGGGGAAATGGGGAGGAAAAGGGGCAGGAAAAGTCAGGGGATCAGGGAGAAAGGATGTGGTTTTCTCCCCAAGCCGGCTGGTGGCCAGGAGGGAGGAGAGCTCACCCTCGGGTGAGGAGAGAGGGGTGCGACCCCAATCAAGCCCTTTATCCATCTGCAACCCCCAATCCCACCTGTAGAGCAATTGTGGGGTGGGGGGCAGAAAAAGCTGAATTAAAGCTGGATTCGAGGACAGGGGGGCTCCTCAGCGGGCTGTGGGGTGCAGGATGGATCCCGAAGCGGTGCGAGGCAGGAGAGGGGGTTCGGGGGGCAGAAGGGTTTGGGGGTCGCGGAGTTGGTTGAGCTCTCGGAGGGTGCAGCGCCCATCGCGCCCCCCGCCCCCAACAGCCCAAACCCCCCGGCCGCCCCCAGCCCGGGGCAGCAGCGGGATGGGGATGGGGGCAGGAGGGGGTGCCGGGGAAGGGGAAGGGGCAGGGGAAGGGGAAGGAAGGGGAAGGGGACCTACATTGCAGCAGTCCATGGCGGAGGGCGGTGGGCGGCCAGCGGCGGGCGAGGGGCTCGGGCAGGATGTCGCTTCCCCGGCAGCTCTCCCGGCGCAGGTGGCAAGTTGAGCGGAGCCGCTTGCCTACGTAATGCGCTTTCCTCCGGGCGAGCCTATCAGCCCGACACCCCTGCCAGGCTTTTGGGGGGGAAGGAGGGGTGCCTGGTTTTTTTTTTTCCTCCCTTTCGCCTCTTTTTTTTTTTTTTTTTTTTTTTTTTTTTTTTTTTTTTTCCTCCTCCAATTTTATTTTGCAGCCTCCAACTCCCTCCTAACACTTAAAGGAGCCGGCAGCTCGCCTTGGAGTTTCGTGGAACACAACATCGCATGCAGGGGATGCGAGCCAAGATGTGATGAGCCTTGCCTTTGGCGTGGAGGGTTTTTTGGGGGACAAAACTATAGCAAATGGGGGAAATGAGTTCATTTTTGGGGGGTACATGACCCACAGTGATGCTGGAGGCAGGTTTTGCCCCCCGGGTTGGTTTGCACAGGGTGAAAAAGCCTTCCTGACCTACTTAGGACTTGGTCCTGAAGGAGGGTGAGGATGAGGATGGCACGGATGAAGATGGTGAGGAAGGGTGGGCATGGTGGGATATAGCATCCCACGGAGCACCACAGAACCCCAGGGATGATGTGCCCAGCTGCAGGCTCCAAGCAGAGGAGTGGGCTCCACTTCTGGGGTCTGGGGGTCCCTTCCCCACTCATAGGAGCATCTGACACCCCCCCCCCCCCCATTTGGGGTGTTCTCCAACCAGAGCTGCAGTCCAATTTCACAGCCCTCGCTGCTCCCTGCAGACCCTGCTGCCACCCCAGACCACGTCGAGCTGCTGGGACTGGCAGGGTGAGCTGGGGCACCCCGGGAAACAGGAGGCACCCCCGGGGCAATGCGGGGGGCTGCAGCCCACACCCCCCCATCGCTGCCTCGCTCGCCTCTAATCTGGGTTTGGGAGTTGCTAAGCAACTGCATAAATCGCCCGTGGGCTTGGCGCCGATGCTGCTCCAGCCAGCCCCCAAAACACAGCCTGGCCCCCCCCAGGCGGGCACCAGCACCCCACACACCCGCACAGCCGGGCCCCAAACTGTCCCTGGCCAAGCTTGCTCACAGGGGTCATCCTGCTTGGGAGCCTGGTGGCACTGACCTTCCTCTTTGCCACCACCATCACCACCACCACCATCATCATCACCATCATCACCATCATCACCACCACCATCATCATCATCATCATCTCCATTAGCATTCCTGTCCCACTGACATCACTATTTCTGGCACTGTCCCCACTGCTGCCACCAGCCTTGTCCCCACCCCATACTTCATCCCCATCACCTCCACCACCTTCTCCATCCCTACCATCGTCCCTGTCCCCATCTCTGTCACCATCCCTGTCTTGATCCCCATGCCACTTCTTGTTCCCATCCTCTTCCTAATGCCATTCCCAGCTTCAACCCCATCATCTCTGTCCCTCTCCCTGTCCCCATCTCCATCGTCACGCTCATCCCTGGCCCCATCCTCAGCTTGTTCCCATTCCCATCCCATCTCCATCTCTTTCTCCAAGGCCACTCCTGCTGGGTGCAGCTGCTGGCATCTCTCGTCCCCTGACGCCCCAGTTCCTCAGGACACCCTGCTCCCCATCCCACTCCACCCCATCCCTGGCACATCCCACCACTGCCCCCTCCCTCAACTGCTTCACCCACACTTGGAGGTTGAAGGGGGTCACCCCTGCCCCAGCACATGCCAGGCACCGATTCCCCCTTGGAAAATGCTCCCAAGGATCTCTCCAATCCCCCTGTGAGCCACTGGCACTCAGCTCTCCCCACTGGAGCCACTTTTCCCTCGTCACTTCTTCCCACCAGCACACCAGGGTGGGGGGGTGGGGGGTGGGAACAGCTCTGCTCCAAAAAACCCTGCTGCAGCTTCCAGGAGAAGCCTTGGCAGCTCTGCTGGGATTTTTGATGGGAAGAGATCCTTTTCCCTGGATTTTAGACCTCCAGATCCATCACTGCCTGCTCCAATGAGAGGAGACCGGGTGTTTTGGGTGACTTATGTGGGAAGGGTTTTTGGGGTGATTCATCCGTCATGGATCCGAGAAGTTAGCCCCAAAATTAGGATTAGTCCCTCAATTAGCCCCCAAAATCTGCTCCATTGGTGGCAGCCGGGTCCTGGCAGAGCCGCCGAGCGCCGCCGTCTCCCACAGGCTGTGGCTGCGGAGGAGGGACGCGAAATGCCAGAACATTTCTAATCATTAATGGCGGGTTTTGAGCCTGTTCCAGGCTCTGCATTTTTCCTCCGTGGACCCCTTCATCTGGATGATGCTTTTTCAGGTGCTCCAGCACCTCCAAAATTTGAATTCCGAGGGAAACAACTCAGATTTTGGAAGGGGAGAACGGGAAGCGCAGCTGGCGAGACCCGCTGAGAACATCCCGCCGTCGTGGTTTGAGATGGTGGCACCGAGGTGTTAAAAAATCCTTTAAAAACAGGGAAAAATCCTTAAAAGAAAAGGGAACTGGATGCTGGAACGCTGCCCTGAGCCGGCAGCCGGCGAGGCGGTGCTGCAGGGGGGTCAAGGCGTAGCTGGTTGGCATCAGCCCTGGCACGGGGTCCCCGCCAGCTTTTTTTCCAGCTTTTTTTCCCCATCCCTCCTTCCTGTTTTTCCCAGGGGAGCCGCTGTCATGCCCCGTGCCGTGGGCGAGCTCCACATATGGCGATGGAAAACAGGAAAGAGGGGGTAAAAACGGGGTGAGCACGGATGGGGGGGTTCAGTCCTCTCCAAAAATAGAGCAGCCGGTTTCGACGCAAACCCCACTTTTTGGGTAGGAAAATATGAATTTCATGGGTGGGAATAGGACTGGGGGGCCCCTGCATGCCCCCCAGAATTCCATGGAGGTATCTCAGCTTATGAAGGGGGGTAGGAGAGGAGCAATGTCACATCATTCCTTCACACTGGGATGTTATGAAGTTTCTTCCAACCTCCAGGGATGCAGGGGCCTAAATATAGAGGCTAAAAATATCATCCCGTGCTCAGCTCAGCCCCAAAGCCGGGATTTTTCGGGGAGAAATCTCAGGTGATCGACACTAATAACAGCGGGGACCTTGTTAATAAAATTCCTCATTAAAACAGCACCGCAGGGGCAGGATGGGAGTGCAGTACCCACCCATGGGAAAAGGGCAGGAGCCAAGGGAGAACCAAGGGGGTTTTTTTGGATTTGGGGTTGGACAGTGGGAAATGGGGGATTCAGGGCAAGTGCTGCAGTTGCATCTCCAGAGAGGTGTCCCAGTTCATCAGGGTTATGGGGACATGCTCCCCTTTGGCTCCTCTCCACACATTTTGGGGTGGAATCACAGTGATCCAGAGCTCTGTGTGCTGCCTGCACCGCCTGGTGCTCCCTGCTCCCCTTCCATGTCCTTGGCCTCTTTCACGTCCTGGAGGAAAGAAGAACATTTAGATGATGTGGCACAAGAGTGGCAGGAGCAGGGTGGGAGCAGGGACCCACTGCAGCTCTTGGCACCTCAGATTGTCTGGAGGGGCCTGGGATCTCCATCCTACCTTGGAAGGGGGCCAGGTGAGATGATCGTCCTCCAGCATGGCTCCCCACGCCACCGGGTCAGTGCCACCAGCTGGGGAAGGAGGAGGCTTGATGCCACATGCAATGGGCACCCAGCACCACGGGTGATGGACACATGGCACAGGCACAACATCCTGGGTGATGGCACAAATGGAGGGCTGATGGCCATTGGTGGTGGACATTTGGGACAGGCATAAGGCCACAGGCAATGGGCACAAGGGCAGGTTTGATGCTCTGGGTGATGGGCACACAGGAGAGGCCTGATGCTGTAGATGGTGGGCACAGGGGGCAGGATTGACACCCTGGGCAAGGGACACGTGGGGCAGGACTGACACCTGGGCAAGGGACATGTGGGGCAGGACTGACACCTGGGCAAGGGACACAGGACTGACACCTGGGCAAGGGACCCGTGGGGCAGGACTGACACCTGGGCAAGGGACACAGGACTGACACCTGGGCAAGGGACACAGGACTGACACCTGGGCAAGGGACACCTGGGGCAGGACTGACACCTGGGCAAGGGACTCGTGGGGCAGGACTGAAACCCTGGGCAAGGGACTCGTGGGGCAGGACTGACACCCTGGCGATGGGCAGATGGAGCAGGCTGGGTGGGCAATGCAGCGGGGGACAGGGGATGGCAGTGTGGGGGGTGGGTGCTGGGCAAGGCCACTCACCCTCCCTCTGCTCCAGCAGCTTTTGGAAGTGCTGTGCTGCAAACTCCACCACGTTGGTGGGCTGCTCCCGCAGCACTTCCCGCGCCAGCCCCTCCAGCAGGTTCCGGAAGCCGGCGGGCACCCTCATGCTGGTGTTGGAGGCGGCGATAGACATGGTCGCTTCTCCCGGACCCCCTGCAGCAGCACAGCCCGTGATTAAGCACAGCCCACGGTCCCCGGTGCCACCGGGCAGCGCCGGGACTCGAACCCGCGGAGCGAGGCCTGAGGGGCAGCGCCGCCGCTAGGGGGAGAGGCGCTGCCTGCCCACTGCGCATGCGCGCGACCCGGCCTGGGCGGGGGGAGTGGGCGGGGGGGCCGCGGCTCCCGTTCCCCGGTGTGGCCCGACTCCCGTTCCCGGTGATCCCGGCTCCCCCCGCAGCCCCGCAACCCTCAGCCCCGCGCTCCCGGCCCTTCCCCTCGGGCTCTCCCGTCAGAGCCGGACCGGGCGCCGCCGGCACCTCAGGCCGTGTTGCGGACGCCGTCGCTGGGCAACCGCCCCCTCACGGGCGGCGCGTGCGCAGACCACGCCCCCGCGCGCGGGGCCCGCCTGAGGGGCGGCCCGGGGGCACCGCGGGCACCGGGCGGAACCGGGAGTACCGGGGGGTACCGGGGGGGTATCAGGCGGTACCGGCCGATACCGGGAGTACCGGGGGGTCCCGGCGCCCTCGCGGTCCGTGGTCCCCCCAGGATGGCGGCGTGGGCGCTGCTGGCGCTGCTGGCCCTGGCTCCGGCGGTGGCAGGTAAAGGGTCACCCTCCGACCCCCCCCA